GAGAGGTGTTGTAAGCTATAAGAAAAGAAATATACAGTATAATGAACTTTTTTTATTAAACTATACCAGGTACTAATTAATGTCCATAAAGTTCCAACTTTGAAAAATACCCGGGTACTAATCAAGTTTCGTAAGTTTCAACTTTGAAAAGTACCCAGATACTAACCATAGTTAAGTCTTTATGTATAGTGAATAATATTTGGGTCTTAATCAAGGGAGTACTATTTCTTGGGGTACTTTATGCAGTGCTCTATGGTATATATATTATAACAATATCTGTCTATAAAAATAGAATACTAAACAAATCATCAAAATATTAACTTAAAATAAATTTAATAAAATAAATTTATACTGATATAATAATGAAATAATATATTTAATAAAAATATTATACCAATTCTATATATAATTATATATCAACCTATATTTCTAATTAGAAATGATAATTAATAAAATTGTATAGATATTTTTAAAAAATATATAATATCATAAATATATCGGTATAATTAAATAATATATCTGCTATCTTTACAGAAACTTATTAAATCTTAACTAAATTGTAAATAATTATTAATTAAATAGTATAATAATATTAAATATTTTGTTAAAATATAAAACAATATAGTAATATAGTTGTTACTATGCAGTAGCTATGTGTTAAGACAATTGTAATTTAAATTTATAATATTATTTCTAAATTATTACTACTTATAATTAAAATTAAAAATATATTATAAATAATTTTTTAAAATTTTATAAATATTTATTTTATTAAAATATAATAAATTATAACAAAATTATAATTAAATTATAAATATTTTAAAAAAACATTATAACAATTTGATTACTACGTATATATATTATATATTATTAAATTAAAAATATATTATAAATAATTTTTAAAATTTTATAAATATTTATTTTATTAAAATATTATAAATTATAACAATTATAATTAAATTGTAAATATTTTAAAAAAACATTAAAACAATTTGGTTATTATATATATTTTATATTACAACTATTTAGATAAAATTTAATACTAAAATTAAAATAATTAATTTAAATTTAAAATACTTAGTAAAAAAATAGTAACTAACTTATTTTAAAAATAATAATATACTATCATAACACTAAATTATATCATTGATATTTGACTATATATACTTTTTTCATGGTTTCATTAGCAAAATTTAAGGTTAAGGTACTGTTAAATATTAAAGATAAGGGTTAGTATTAAAGGTTAAATTTAAATAAAATATAAGATTTTTGAAAGTGTTAAGCGTTTTACTTAGAACGCTCAATATTAATTGCTTAGCTGGCTTTTGAGAGTTGTTGCTCAATTTCCCGGAGTCTATTTTTCAGAAATACCATTTCACTGAAGTCATAGTACTGACAATCTATTTTTCAGAAATACCATTTCACCAAATTCGTAATACTGACAATCTATTTTACTAACCGAATAAGTTTATTTCACTAGTGCAATTTTTAAAAAAACTTGTCAGTGAAATGATCTGTCAGTAAAATAATTAGTGAAAAAACTTATCGATTTTCGGTGACACAAGCTTTTTCTGCCTTTCTAGTAAAATGGATTTTTGGTATTATAACTTCGGTGAAATGGTATTTCTGAAAAATAGATTTTGGGAAGTTAAACCGAAACCGCTTTTGAGATATAGTGATTGTAGTGTTGAACAGCACTAGTGTGATTTAATAAAACTGTATACTATATATAATTTTGATTTTAAAATTAAAATTTAAAAAAAAATATTTAACGAATATAATAACTGCTAAATCATTACAGATAAGAAATAATGTCACCTGCACATTATTTTTTTGATCTGTACACTAATTCAAATGTAATTTTTGAATGTGTGCCAGGTTTTGATGCAGCAAAGTTTATTTTTTTTAGGGTTATAGGTAGAGTTGTGAATCAGAGGGGATTAGTTTATATAGTAAAATTGCTCAATGAAAACCTTTTATTAGAGCATTAAAGGTAATTTCTTATGCTGATTTTGGGAAGTAAGTGATTTTTGACAAAACGGACATTTGTGTTGAATTTTCTTAATCATATTACGTTATGTCTGATCTTGAAATCTGATTCATAGGTTAGGAATTGCAATTCAAAAACAGACGTGCTATTTTGAAACAAAAATCAGTTTTTAGAGCATGTGTAATCTAATCATACTTATCGGCATAAAATTATTACAATACATGTTTGCTAACCAAGTTCACATGCATTTACAAAGGCCGTATAGACTTATGTAATTGTTCTAATGTCTCAACATCTTAATGGATGAGTGTTATTTCGAGACGTTACTATGCCAACAAGATTATTAAGTCATATTAGCTGTGAGAGTTCGAAGTTGGATCAACTATTCTGTCAAAGTTGGTTACTGATAACGGAAATAGACACTAACAAACGGAAGAAGTCAGGAACTACTAGGTGAGTATCAAGCTAGCAGAGATAAGCTAAATAAATGATACTCTCCCGGTGGTGGTGAAATAATAATTTAAATATAACGATTAATAATATCCTTAATATCTTTTATAACATAATGACCCTAAAATAAAATACTAAAATTAATAAACATTTCGCTTAATCATTACATCATTCTTTAAATATATGC